CCGCTCTCTGCCACACCCAGAAATTAGAATATCTAAGCATGTCAGATATAGCTTAAAATAGCTGGGCATTTATACAAAAATAAAAAGTATGTTCTGTAAAAGTGGACTAAGTCCTGTGGGGCATTTGGGGAGAAAATAACTACTTTTGCTCTATACTTCCACCTTAAGGATATTCGTGAAAGAGTTTTTTAATTTTGCATTTATTTGAAACATTTCATAATTAGTTTCTGAAAGAACTGTTAGATTCACCAAGAAGTGGAGAAAATAAATACATTTTTAAGCTCTGGATTTTTGCTGTGTTTAGATTTTAAAACTTTAATCAAAGTTTGCTAATATCACTCCATTCTTTTTGTAAAAGAACCAGTTCAGAAACTTGTGGTGGGTTCAGTTCCAGAATGGTTTTATTTTACCTGAACAGATTTCAATTTTATGGGTATTTTACTTTTCAAATGTGTGATAGATATGCTCTGTCTTTATACTAACTTATTCCATTTTAATTTTTTCTGAGACTCTCCTCTGTTTGCCTAAATCTTTGATGCTTCAGGCCCATGCATATTTCCAAGCAGAGCTCATTTTGTGCTTTAAAAGCATTGAACAAACCAGAAAATGCATCAGATCATATACTGAGATGGAGAGTGCTGAATTTGTGTGGGTTTTTTAGTAAAAAACGTTTTAAATTTTATGAAGTGACATTACGTATACTCTATAATTCATTAAGAGTTAATGAAGATGCTAAGAAACAAAGAGTAATGACTAAAAAGAGAGAAAAGACAATATAAACAGACCCATAGGGGATTCAGATAATGAACCCATACACTAGTAAACCATAAAGAATATTTTTAAGAAAATAGGTTAAAAAATCATCAGATCCCAATAGCTTCACCAATGAATTCTTCCAAATATGTAAGGAATTAGGTTAGCATAACCTTTACTCCAAAACCTTACAAGTCATTACAAGAAAGGAAAATTACAAGACAAACTTCCCTCACAAATAAAGATATATACATCTTTAACAAATGTTGTCAAATCAAAGTAAACAGTGTATAAAAAAGGAATACTAGATCATGATCAAGTTGAGTTTATTCTGGGAAGCAGAGTTGGTCTAACATTTGAAAATTAACTCACCACATTAAAAGATTTTAAAAGCTGATCATCTTAATAGATTTGGAAAAATAATATGATAAAATCCTATAACCATTAATGATTTTAAAAAGTCCTCTTGGCAAAATAGGAATATAAACTTCTTGAATCTGACAGTGTTTATAAACAGTATCTAAGAACACATTTATACTTAATGTTATAACACTGAAAGTTATCACCCTGATTTTGGAAATAAGTTCAACACTACTGGAGATCCTAGCCAGTACAATAAAGAAAAAAATAATAGAACAAGAAAAAGGATTAGGGATTATAAATGAAGAAATTGTCTACTTTTTTATAGGTAATTTGCTTGAATCAGTGGATCATCTGTAAGAATTTACTTTTATTTCATTTTTAAATACCAGCAGCAGTTAAAAAATGAAATTCTCAAGGAAAATACCATTTATAATAATATCAAAAATATCAATACACAGGGATACATCTAGCAAAAATTTTGCCAGATCTCTACACAGAAAACTATAGAACATTATTGTGATAAATTGAGGAAACCCAGCATCATTAGAGGAATACACTGAGTTTAAGAATTAGAAAACTGTGTTGTAAAGGCATCATTGTTCCCCTAATGCAATGCAACCCCAGTCAAAATACGTATAGGATTTTTTTTAAGTGAAAACTTGACAAGTTGTTTCTAAAAGTTATATGGCAATGCAAAGGGGGCATAGTTAAGACGTTCTCGAAGAAGAACATTGTAGGAGAACTTGTTTTGTTGAATGCTAAGTCTTATTATAAAGCTATTTAAGAGTGTATTTATGAAACAAGGTTACAAGAATAGACCAGTGGAATAAATAGAGAGCTTACAAAAAGGCAACAGATACAGAGGTGCTTGGCGCGGGGGAAAGAACTGTAGTTTTAATAATAATGATAATGGAAAAATTGGGTCTTCATATAGGAGTAAAAATACAATTTGTTTACTATCTCATACCATCCACAAAAACTAATTACAGTTAAAATAGAGATATAAATTGAATGACAAAATACTAATAGAGTGCTGAAAAGATTCAGATGTCTACTACACTGTTCCTCAAAAGCATGACCACTGAAGACGGTACACAGCCACCACCTTTAGGGTATCTCCAGATGACTTCAGGGGAACTAAAACATAACTCTTCACCCCTCCTCCCAATCAACCATGCAGAATTCATCAAATGCCATTAAATAGTCGTAAGACAAAGTTCAAGTTCTGGAAATTTTAATCTGGTGTATTTGAGGGGAGTAGACCTGAAAGCAAGGAAATTAAGAAGCCTCAGCAAGATTTGAGGTGCTTGGAACTTATATGCTGATGTTGTTAGTTTTGAAATGAAAAGAAAGGCAAATCCAAAAGACATTTCAACAAGGCTTGGCAGTTGGGTTGATGTTGTTGTAAAGTGGGGAAAAGTCATATGACTCAGCGATTTTGAGGCTTAATGATATCACTAACAAAGATAGAACATCAGAAAGGCAAGCTGCTTTGGAGAGGAAATGATTGAATTTGAGCTGATGAGGGGTTATCCAAAGAGAAATGCTCAAAAGAATGGTAGGAATAAGCTACTGGAAGAAAAGAAAGGGGCCAGGCCTAGAGGGATAGACTAGGATGTCAGTAGTGTTGTGCATAAGTACACGTGGCTGGCTGTTCACCATCTACCCTGATTCTCTCACATCTGTTCATTGGGATACAGCTGCGGTGGCATCTGCATCTGGGTTGGTTTTGGAGGGGAGGGAAAAGGATGGTGCTGGTATTAGCAGAGACTGACAGTTCTTCAGAGCGCTGCCTGTGAGCGACTCTTAAGTCACACAGACACCGAGCAAAATTTGAACCAACTCCACTCCATTATTCTATTAACATTAGAATATGTGAGATACTTTGTTTCATCAGTTCAGTTAACCCTCACTTAGTACAATATTAGTGGGATATGAAGCCTCACCTGAAGACCAACCCACTGAATTCTTTCAGTTGAGCTGAGGAAGGACACCAGTCCCCAGGTACAGAAGAAAAGCCTCTTCCTATACTCTTTGCCCAGTCTCTCCAGTCCAGGGATAAGGCACCAGATAAATATTCATGGCCATGCGTGATGGATGTCATTGGCCACTATTCCTCTAATGGATGGCAAAAAAGGATTTAATGGAAGAAAGTTCTAAATGATCCAGATTTCAGAGCACTACACAATCATGAATATTTATGTAACCCATTATCATTTAAAAAACACTTTTTAAAATCTTTTCAAAGCTTTCTAATTGAGGAATGATAATGCACGCTAGCCTGGAACTAGGCATCCATGCTGTGGGCCCGGAGGTGCCGTATTAACACTGTAATACAGTTTGAGGGGCTGGGCTGTGACGGCAGGTTCTCTCTCCCCTGCTCCTATGAAATCGATTTTTCTAAGTTTCTCTGTAAGACTTCTAATTTCCACATCAGTCCTTGCTAATAGTTACTGCTCAGACTACGTTTCTGACCTTGAGGCCCTATTTATAGAGAATTTTAGTCAGGGGGAAAAGTTTGGCAAGAGAAGAAACAAATTCCTAGTGTTTCCCGTCTGGCAATAACAGCTTTAAAGGTGGGTGAACAATGAAACAAAGGTAACATTGACTTTATAACTGCAAAGAGTATAAATTATGACTCCATTGTTATGCCAGAAATGGTCTTCCTATATGGAAAAGAAAAAAGCAAACACTTGCTACAGAAGAAATTGAAATTAATGAAATGCCCTATTTCCTTCAAATGTGAGGATTTGACTTGATTTCTGAGTCTCTGTCACTCACGACGGGTTACTAAAGACACGTGAGGGAATGCTGACAGTCTGTGTGGAAGTCACAACTGAAACCTGACCTTCACGACAGGACAGGGAGTGTCAGGGAACTCAGTGTGCTTCAAACAAGATCAGGTCCTTATCCTTGCCTCCCAGAAGAAGATGGTCTTCTAACCCCAATAAAGAAAATTCAATAAAATAAACAGGAGGGAAGGCACATGGCCAAACTCACCTGGGTTAGGAGCACAAATCATTGCCCTAACAAAAGATAACTTTCATGGCCAGTGATAAAGACCTCAGTGATGTGAGTGAGCATATAGCCCTAAACTGTTCTGTGAAATCTTTATTGCTCACCACAGAGATCAAGAGCTTTTATGCAAATGGTCATATCGCACACATGCTTTAATGTACTCATCAGTAATCTTTTCCCCTGTCCCTGTGTCCACTTAGAGAATCTGCTTTGCCCAAAGGTCTGAAATCCCTATCCCTCAGCCTCAACTGATTGGCTCGACCAGGGATGGACCCCTTACCCACGTTTGACCAGATTTTCTCTTCCAGAACACTGAGATTGGGAAACAGTTTGCTACAGGGAACAAACTGGAAGGTCAAAGAAACATGGGGCAGAGGCTTTCATTCTGGAACAGTTATGGGAATCCCATGTTCAGAGAGAAGAGTAAAGTGGGTGAGAGATGCAGGGAGAAGACATCACGTAGCCCCAGAGGGACCAAATTGGCTGCATCAAGGCTTTCCACAAAGAAGCCAGGCTCTACTCTGTGCAACTGGATTCCTTGATGTCCACCTTGAAATTCTGTCTTTCTACTTGTCCATCCCAAAGGGCAAAAAACAAAAAGCCCTGCAAAAAATGTAAAATTATGCCAGCTTTACTCATTGGTAACTTTAGTGTTCATTAAAAAAAATTACCTTTTAAAGCAGTTTGTAAATTGGATACACTGGTTTCCAAAGTATTTCTGACCATGAAAGATTGTCAGTTCATCATAGTCAATTGCATGGGTTACTCTTAGTCTAAGTAATTCATGTGAAAGTAAATTACAAAAATCCTTTAAAAGTTGTATATGTAAAATACTTATTTAATGAAATTTTTTTGTGTTTTGATAGTGAAATGAGTATTGGATGTGAATATTTTTGAGGCGGGATAGAGCCTCTGAAATGAAGAGATTTGAGGACCTATGACGGTTTGGAAACTTCCCTGAAGATTTCAAGGCCCTCTCAGCTGGTGTGGTACCACAGGGAAGAATGCTGGGCCAGAAATGACATCTGAATGGTAGGTAACCCCGATTTCTGCTGTACATTTGCCACAGAACTTGAGTGAGTCACTTCCTCCTAATCGTTGGTTTCTTCATCTATGACATGAGATGGTTGGATGGACTGATACTGAAAGTCCCTTCCAGGTCTCCAGATAATTGAATTTCTATTAACTTGTTCACATATTCTGGGGAAATTTTGCTGGTTTTTAAGTTATTTGCCCCAAAGCAGTAGGTCCTAGACTCTACTTCCACCTTGCTCACTATCTCTGTGAGAAGAATGTGACTCTTGGGATAAAGAAAATTTAGGCCTGTTTCACTGGATATAATGATTAATGAGCACTTTTTTTGCAGAGTTCCTTTTTTTTTTTTAATTGAAGTAGAGATGATTTACAATGTTGTGTTAGTTTCTGGTGTACAGCATAGTGATTCAGTCATACATATACATTTTCTTTTTCATATTCTTCTTCATTATAGGTTATTACAAGATATTGAATATAGTTCCCTGTACTGTATGTAGGACCTTGCTGTTTATCTATTTTATATATAATAGTGTGTATCTGCTGTGATTAATGAGCTTTGATGATTCCTGTAGACCTGCATATCCAAATTAACTTTCTTTACTGTGCACACCTTCCAAACTGTACACCTTGATCCTCACACTGAGAAACACACACACACAAATCTCCTGTATCACACTTGCTTCTCTTTGTAGGTTCTCTCTCTCTCTCTGTGTATCTCTTGAAATCTTACTTTAACTCAGTACTCATATCCCCAGAAGAAACGCTGCAAACCTCCAATTATGTCTCAGTTGTGAAACCCTTAGTCTTCCTTATTACAACCAATAATTTCTTTGCATCAAGGCTTTATTTAATTAATTTTAATGTTTTCTTCTGGGATAATTGTTCCATTGCGGTTCTTCAAGTCAAATCATAGTGTCTCCAAAAACGTTCTGTGAGAAATGACACAGACACTTTTGTCCTGAGGGGCTGGCCCCACGCTGAAAGAAGAGTGGTAGACATGAAGCTGCTTCAGGACTGAAGGACTTACTTCCCTACGAGCCATCCGCCATCAGCCCTCTGGGGACATTGCCTTCAGTTTTCTAGTCTGAGTTCAGACCCACTCCCAAGGCAGCCCGTACCTAATTAATCATCATCAGGGATAACTTTAAAGAGTCAGGTCAGTTCCAATGCTCACTGTGTCCCCAGGATGACTGCATCACAGCTCAGCTTTTTCTCCCTCTGCTCAGTTCAACCTCCTCCCTTCATCCAGGGTAGCCCATCCCAGCAGCGCTGTCCAGAGAACTTCCTGCTGGCTCACCCCCAGCTTGGAGGTGGCTTCCCAGGGAACCTAACCAGGAGTGTGTTACAGATTGAGACATCGTTTGACATCTGTTGTCGAACAGATTGGAGAAAGCGGAAAAAACCATGGTTTTAATTACGGGAGCGATGACAGGCGAGGACAGTCTTTCAATTTACAACATTCAGATCACCGTTTTATAGTCAACCAGCTCTACACATCGCTGTCATCCAGCATTTGTCTGGTACAATCTGCTGATTTCTTCAAGACAGTTCCAGTAATATGTCCCTAGGCTGATTTAATTGGTCTGAGGTGAGACCCAAGCCTTACTAATTTTTTTCTTTTTTTTTTCCCTAAACTTTTGCATTGTTTATTTTGTACTCCATATTGACATAAGAAGCAGCTTAATCCTGGATTTCCTTTTAGTTAACTTTTTATCATAGCATAAATATACATACAAAATGTACACAAATGATAGGTGGACAGCTTAACGACTTCACAAGATTAATGCTCTATGTAACGTGCTGAAAATAGACATGCAGTACATTCATTACCAGTGCCCCAGAAGCTCCTTCTGCCACCTCCTAGTCGTTCTAAAAGCAGCCTATTTCCTGACTCTTGACACCTAAGTTAGTTTTGCCTGTCTTTGAACTTTGTATCAATGAAATCATATGTTCCAAATGCATTTTGTTTCCATCTACTTTCTTTCACTGAGTATTATATTTGTGAGATTCATCTCTGCTGTTGTATGCGCTATGAGGTTTTTCACTCATTCCATGAAATTCTGAAGTACACATTTACTATAGTTTATTTATCCATTTTTTTCTGTCAGTGGACAACTGCACTGTTTCTGGTTTGTAGCTTTTATGCATAGTACAATCATGACCGTTCTTTTGTGTATGTCTATACACCTTTCTGTTAGTATATGCCTAGGAACAGAAGTGCTGGTTCATGGGCACATATGTATATTTCAGCTTCAGTAGGTATTGTGAAACGGTGCCAAGGTGGTCATACCAATTTACACATCCATCAGCAGCACTGGGAGTTCTGGTTGCTCCACACCTCCATCAACACTTGGCTAGATGTATATCAAAGCTGAGATCTGTTGATATGATGATGTACGATAAAGCAAATCAAGAAGAAGAAGTCAGTATAAATCAGATACAGGAAAAAAGTCACCAAAAGCACAAATACCAGACTTGATTTGATCCTCCTGGAATGTGGATGTCAAACAACAATGATTCTTGGTACAATAATTAAATCATTTTAATGCTATCTAGTGCTCTGAAACCATTAAATTCATTCTGTAGGAATAAAAAGAACCAAATATTGAACATATACAAATTTTACCATCTCAGATAACTGTGAGATTTAACAGGCAAGGTGACAAATTGGGTTTTTGGGTCTCTGGCTGCAAAGTATTTCTGTGTAAATAAACTAAGGCAAACTGAGCTAAGACAACTTGGATACATCTGTGATATAGTCTTGGCCCAATTCTAGAAACCAAGAGTGGTAAGACCATTGTGGGTAATGAAGCCAAAAAATTAGGTGAAGGTCTCCTACATAAAAACAGATAACATATTTCATTGCCTGAAAAACTTGTTAAAATGTTTTCTCTCTCATATATACATAACTAATATGCACTATTGGGAAAAAACAAGTCAGTGAGTGGAGTAATAAAATACCATCTGTCCAGCTGTCTAACTCTGCTGTGCAAAAACAACTAAGTCGTGTTTCATTTCTCCTTTATACGGGATGTATCAATAGGTAATTTTGATACATCCTGAATAATAAATGCTATTAAAACAAAGTTATCAACTTGACTAAAGCAGTCTTGATTGAGAGGTAATCCAGAGCCTTTTAAAACATACAACACCAATATTTTCTAAACAGTGGAAATTAACCCTATTATCTTTAAAATGATGTTTTAGAAGTGTTAAAGATGTCTCTAAAATTGGAATATTAAAAGGCAGCCTATGCAAAGTACCCATTTTGAAATTTTGCTCTCCTCTGGGTCCAGATATTCAGAAAAAAAAAAATCAAAGCTCCCGATTAACTGACATTAAGAAAGGAGTCATTTCCCAGAATGAGGTCTTAGAAATACATCAAAATTGCCAGAAGAATGAAACATCTTGGAGTGAAACGCAAGAAAAAGCCTCATTCCTGAAATCACACCCTATCACACAGGTTTTCTGGGATCAAGCCCGCCTTGAGAAAATTTTTTCTACCGCCTGTACATGCCAAGTCACAAGAGTTTCACTCATCTATGGTTCATTAACCACTTACTGAGACAGAAACCAGCTGGGTGGTGGTTTGGGAGAACAGTGCAACCTAAAACCTCTTTCCTTCCTTCTTTCCTTTTGCTTAGGCCATCACATGCATACTCTAGTTTCTTGTTTCCCTATGACTTTCACTGCTCAGTTATTTCACCTTGATCAATCTCTCCCTGTGGATATATTTGTCCTCTCTATTCACTCACTCTCTTCATTTTCCTCTACCAAGTATGTCCCCATTACCTTGGAAGATTTCTCCCTGCAGGCTAGGACCAGGTTCGCTGGTGTGCAGTCTTTGCAGATGCATAGGACTCTTGGCTAGAAGAACACCATGTTTGGCTTAATGCTCTGTGGTCACTGTCTTGACATTCTTTATTTTATCTTTGAATTTGTGTTTTGTAAATGAAGTCTAGTGGAACTGTGGAGCATCCATATGAGTAGAGGAGATGTGTGCAGTCTGCATGTTTATCGTTCCCTGCCACCTCATTCCCATGCAACATCTGCGATGCCCCATGAGCACAGAATTCCAGTGGACTCAATGCATGGAAGTTCAGCAAAACTCAAAGTGAGTACAAGGTAAGTGTATTCAGTCTGCAATTGAGTAAGTGTGGGCTCTGAAAGACCACATGTTCTTGAACTAGAACTCCTTTTGCCAAAAAAAAAAAATCCAAGGAATCTTATCATACTCTTTTTTGTATTAGCCAGTTATATGAAAATTGATGACATCTAAGGAAGGGAAAAATAGGGCAACCCAAAATTCCTTTTCTTTTCAGTTCCCCCTAACTTATCAGTAAGCTGAAGGTTAAGTGATGATACGGTGCATATCAAGATGCTGAATAAAAACAGTTGAGTTAATTTTGTGCCATTTCCACAAAAATACTCATTTATGAACTATGAAATTTGAATTGTGTAATTTTGGCGATTTCCCATATGAGTTAAATGTTTGCTTTTAAAATTGTCACTGCACAATCTGAAGAGTGAAATTCATGCTAATAATTTTTTTTTTCACTTAGAAGGACATTAAATAGCAAATAAAACACCATGACAAGTTGATGGGGAGAGATCATGACAAAGGAAAAAACTTTTTTACTACCTTCAGTTGCACTTATTTCCTGCTTTTCAAATGAGGAGTGTTGCATTTTCATTTTGCAGTGGGTTCCATAGATCACACAGCTGGCTCTGCTGAAGTCTCTTCAGCTAGAATTGTGTGCCTCATTTTTACTAATTATAAGAATATTACTAATCTTTGTTAGGTAAGAAGAGTTAGGGATTTTAATTTTAAAAAGAAAAGAAAAATAGAAAATGATAAAAATGAATTCCCTCTAGTCTCTCTGTCAGTTGTGGGCACATCAGATAATTATTTTTCTATGCATTAAATCCATCTTTCCACCTCATTTTTGAATGCAAAATCTTCTTGGATGAGATCATCCTAATTTGAGACTGGCAATGGAAGTAATAAACAACTGTTTGGATTTTTACTTTTATTTTTTTTCCTTTTTCAGTGTTATTAGGTAGAATTATTACAATCCAACTGCACATACACATATTGCATGTAAATGCATACATACTGTATACTGCACATTTTTTTTAGTTTATATGTATGTACTGATTATTGTTTCTAAGAACAGATTAGAGCTTTAGCTTTTTAAACTTACACTCTGAATTTTTAGCTCATAAGCTCAATATAAACCAGCTTTGCCTGTCTTGAGTTATATTCTTGGTACCCTTTATTACTTTATTTTCTTCCTTTAAGTTATATTTTATTACTATATTTCCTTACCATGTAAGCAAAGAAGATTATAAGAGGGTAAGTACTTTTGTAATTTAAATGGTTTATTTTGGTAAAATTAACATTAGATTTAAAAAACTACAATTATATGAGGAAGCCTTCGTTAAGGAAGATGATTTTTCTAATTATAGAACATGTGTACTTTTTACAAAAGAAGGGACTGTCGCAGATTGTAAGTTAAAAAGGGAATCCTTGGCATCATTTCTCTTACTGAACCTTCAGTGTTTATTTGCAATAATTGTCGCTGGTACAATCTTCACTTAATTCCAATGTTTTTAGAGAGGGTGGTTTATTTTTATGAAGAGTGTTTTCCTCTCAAAACGCTATTGGATTTAATTTATTTCCCAGGTTAATAGCTTTTATTAAAAAAACTTTTTGTGTGTGTATTTTACAAAAACAACCTTAGGGCAGAGATTTACTCTGTTGCTACTATAGTCAGTTTCATATTGGGAAACTATGAGGGAACCACTAAATGATCAGAGAGAGTATTTTCAGAAATCTCTAGTATGGAGATTATCCCACTGTTACAGCAGCAACCCCCACCCAAACTGCAAACACTCAGAGGTTTTTGAGCTCTACTAGGTATCAGATTTTTTTTTAAGTTATTTCATTTAATCCTCACGATAATCCTGTGAGATAAAATGAAATTCTAGGACTAACCCCGATTCCAGTACCACTCCACCCCCTCCAACAAATTTTTCAACTTTTAAATTCACATTACTATACGTAAACAGTATTTCGGTATCCTTCGTGTAAGTTAAAAAAGGTCTAAGTGGGAGGGACCTTATGGGTTCCTTCTGTCCCTTAACAACTAATAGCCATTGTTCTCTCTAGAAATGCTACCAATCCAGTAACAGGGAACTAAATCTTCAGTCTCATAAGATTTATGTGTGAGATCAGAAATTTTATCCAAGTTTTTTTTTACTTTCCCTGAACTAACTCGAGGTGAGAGGCGGAATCGGGAAAGAGAAGTTAGTCATCCTCCCTAGGTCTGGGAAGGTTTAACTGGGTTAAACTCGGGGTCGGACAGCTGAGAGCAAGCCCCAGGGGGCGTAGCCCCAGACCCGAAGTCAGACGCGGCAGTCCGCGCTCCTCTCGCGGAAGCCCCGCCAGCTCCTGGAGCCAGGCTCACACCACGCCCCTGCCAGGCTCCCGACCTCAGCCTGGTACTACATTTCCCAGAATGCCATTCAAGCCGCCTCGCAGAGCGCCGATAAGCGCCTTGGGTGACGCCATCAACCAGCGCGATGTTTAGACGCCACTGATGTCGTGGCGTTTCGCGGGAAGAAGTTGGTGTTTCGCCGGGCCCTGGTAGTAGGACGCGGTCCGGGTGGCCTCTGGCCCTTTCCTACCCACTGCTCCGCCTGCCTTTTCTCCCGCTCCTCTAGCAGGATGAGGCGTACAGGCCTGGGTAAGAAGAGGGCAGAGATTCGAATTTCGGGGGCCCTAGAACTGGGGGTGCTGGGCGCGGGGACGGGGAAGGAAATCAGACCGGTCTCACGTTAATGAAATCTGAGCCAGAAAGCGGGGTGTATGGAGGTGTCTTAGGAGGCGGTGCCAAGTGGAAACACATTTGTCCCAGATCCTGGGGGTTTCCTTAAGTTTGGTTCAGTCCCAAGTTTGTAAGCCTAGTGGAGGAGGGGAGGGTACGTACAGGTGCCAATTTAGTAGTCGAGTTTGTTAGTATAGTTGACTGAGCATGATAGTGGAACTGCCGAGTTTCCCAAAGTCCGTCTTCGGTTTCTCTTTACTGGACCTGGACGTTAGTTTCTTCAGGAGTGAAATTTAAAGAGAGTGTTTCATGTGAAGCACACTAATAATAATCTTACTAGTCTGATAACAGCGAGTTACAAAGGTAAACGTACTTGTCATTACTGTTACAGGCCTTGGTATGTAATATCGGGGCCAAAGGCCATTTTACTCAGAACCTTTCTTATCTGAGCCTTTTTTCACTGTTAAGGCAGTAGAATGTGGTAATGCTTGGTGATTTAGCTTTTGTTCTTGACCTTTTGGCATAGTAGGCAGGTTCGACAAGCAGCAAGACTAAATTAGGCACAGGCACTTTTAATGGGCTGTTACAACAGCCCTTAAAACAGCATTTTTTGGTTCTGAAGCTATTAAGAGACAGTGGCGGGGAGGGAACCCTGCTAAATCAATATACCTGAGAAAATATATGAAATACTTGAAAAAAGTTAGTTACCTTTTTCAGTTCTTATAGTAAGATGGAAAAAGAAAAAGGTTTTCAAAAGTTTCAGGTGTTCAAAATGAATGAAAATTGCCAGTAACTCTAGGGACATACATTGATTGGTAGATTGCAGTATGAGAAACAGCTTTTGAAAAGTGTAGTTTTTATGAATACTTGGATCCTAGAAGGAAAGTTGGCCAAGTAAATTGTGGAGAAAAAAAGAACACATTTTGAGCAAGTTGAGTTTTATATGCTGAAATGTTTTTCCTTTTTATCAATACTAATGACAACAAACATTTATTGTGTACTTGCGTAAGCTCTAGGTATACAGTCGTCCATGGCCCTGTTGGTGCTCCCCAAAGCTTCCAGTCTTGTTGAGGAGTAGGAGCATGTACAAGTGGTGGCTAGACATCCAAATACCAGATAAGTTGCTACAGACAGGGAACGTCTCAGGGGTTTCCGAGACAGAGCACTCGGTACTCTGTGGAGAGTTGGTAACTTGAACTAAAACTTGAATAATGAAGAGTAGGAGAGGTAAATTCCAGTTGGAGGGATGACCCTGTCCGCCAACAACAACAACAACAACAGAAACAGTTGTAGGACTAGAATCTAGAATTATGAATGATGTGCTTAAGGGATTATGATTAAGCCAGTTTGGTTGAAGTGGGAGACAAGGAACCAAACCACATTGTGGAGACCTTTGAGTGCCAGGCCAAGCAGCGTGAGTCTCGTCAGTAGGTCCTTGGGCCCCTCTGAGTGTTTTTGCGCAGCAGTGTGCCGTGATAGAGTTCAGGAAGGGGCCTCAAGAAGTGGCGGTTCTCAGCTGACTGTACATTAGAATCACCTGGAAGCCTTTAAGGCAGTTGATACCCTGGCCCCAGTCCTGACTAATTAAATTCTCTAAGATTGAGTTTGTGCTTATTTTTAAAGCTCTTCTGTAGTGGAGAGGAAAGGTGATTACTTAAGTGGCTGCTGCTGCAATTTACCTTGGTATGATGTGACATGATGTGACAAGGGCTTTTTTCCCTTGCCTTTTATTTTATTTTTTTAAGTATCAGTATATATTGACCTGGAATTTTAAACTTGGAATTGTGAATCCAATAGTTGTTCATGTAGAGAAGCTTCCACTTTTCACATGACTCTAAATGATTTGGTTCAGGTATTCATAGAAACTATCCGGAAGTAGCATTTGTCTTATGGACCAGGGCTGAGGATCATCTTTGGCACTCATTAGCTTTCCCACAGCTCTTCATAGCAGTAAGTCACACAAATAGAAGTGGCTAAGTTTGGAATAACAACTCCTATTATTTTATTTATTTGTGTCTTTATTTACTATTGGAGGTGGATGATGGTGTGAGGGAAAATTGTCTATTCTCTATTAAATAGAAGAAATGTGCATTGAAAAATTTCGGGGCAATAAGTAAAATTAGAATTCAACTTTTAATACATGTAATAGTATGGAAGAACTCTAGAAATTAAAACAGGCCAAAAATAATGATAATAAAGGAAATAAAACAAATAGGCATTAATTTGAAAATAAAGTCCTTGGTGAAGTTGTCAGGTGATTCAAATCAGCCATTCAGTATGACTTAATTGGACAAGTGCTATATATGCAGAACCTTAGTCACATCAAACATGAAGACATTTTCTTTTAAGGATTTTGTTACTTATTAGAGTTTGTACAGAGAATCACTGATGAATACAGTGAGAATGCATTCTTTAAATGATTATTTTAATTGTGAAGTGAAGGAAAATATGTCTAGTGACTTGAGTCCTTTTCTAAAAGCACATTTCGAGAGCTTTGTGGATAGTGTGTCAGCAGTTGAGGCAAAATTTGAGGAATGTGACTCTCCTCAGGAACATACTTGTTGAACATCTTGTTGTGGTTTTTGTGGTGGTGGAGATTGTGTGTCCGGTACACGTAAAGTACTCATTAGGTACAGAGGGATCTAGAAAAGGATGAGACACTGCCTCTGCCCTCAGAGAAGCTTATGACTCCATTATTGACAAAGACAGGCACATTCAAAGTTGAATAACAGTAAATTCAGTTTCTGTTCATTAATAGGTATTTATTGAGTGTGTCTTACTGTGTGTATGTGTATGTTTCTGGGGGATATATAGCCATGAGCAGAATTTAGTTTTTGCCCTTTGAGTACAGTCTAGTGTGATATTAGTGTTATGTATAGTCACAGCTATAAGAATTCAAAGGTGAGAGTTTTACTTTTTAGAGAAAGTGAGACTTGTGCTGTGCCTTGAAAGAGCTTCAGTTTCACCCTCCTTCAGTAACCAGTGCTGCCTGCTACTTCCTGTCCTTCCATCTCTGTCACTGCCATCCATCCATCTTTTGAGTTTATGGAGACACTAGTTTCTGTATCATCCCTTTCCTCTATATTCTCAGGTTTCTGTTGACACTACTTCAATCCTTGTCCAGTCTAGTACCCACATTCCACATCTTCACCCATTCTTTTGGCAAGGAATCTGAATGTCTTGGGGCTCTGTTCTTCAGCAGCCCCAAAGCTGTAGACCTCCAACTCTCGATGAATCAGTCCAACCATCCAGCTTCTGGACTAACTCAAGCTCGTAAGTTCTTCTGCAGAAAAATCATGCATCTGGGAGAAAAATCACTCTACAGCATATTGCCTCAGCCAGGATTGTTTTATTCCTGTAGTAATCTTGTGTAGTCCTAGTCACTTTCCTCCGTTGTTCTCTTTACTGGTTTTTTTCCCCCCAAATGACCACCATTCTTCAAAGACAGGCTTTTCTTTTAATGAGAAAATTGATAGTTTCAGTTGTTTTTTAAAAATTGCAATTAGATAACACCCTCAAGTATGCTTTCCTCTCAGTCCTCCAGCATGTCAGCATTCACTGTTGAAAGCTCACTCCACCTGTTGGATTGCCTGATGAGTATCAAGTACCATATTGGGCAGTGGCTAGGACTATATTCCTGTACTCTCAATGCTGTGCCCTAGAAGATGAGCTCCAAAAAGTAGCACCTAGAAAGAACAATGAATGGATCTGATGCATGATAGCTTCTCAAATACTTGTTGAAGAATGAATGAATTGCCCTCTTAAGTCTCAGCTAATAGTCTCCATGAGTTATTCCAACTGTCTTATGTTTAAAAGGAGCAGATGCCAGTAAAGGACTCTCCCTTTGCCATGAGCTCCATCCCGCTATATTATCCTTATATTTTATTTATTATTTAATTATTTTATTTTGGTGGAGGGAGGTAACTAGGTTTACTTTTAGAGGAGTTGCTGGGGATTGAACCCAGGACCACATGCATGGTAAGCAAGCACTCTACCACTGGAGCTATACCCTCCCCCCATCCCACTATATTATCCTTTCTCCCTTTCCCTTCACAGCCAAGCTTCTTCCGTAGGTAGTTGATGTTAGTACTTTTAGATCTGTTAAAGGTTGTGTAGTTTTATGGAATAGGGAATGTATCCTGAGTATCCTTACATATCAGTGCCTGTTTCATTGTCTTGTGGGCAGTCAGTAAGCAGTCAATAAATGTGTTTTGAACTGAACTCAGTATTCTTTGCTTAAGAGATGGTATTAGAATTGTTCTGATCTCTATTTGGTTATGAATTTTTAAAGTTCATTTGGAGTGTGAATATTATAGACATACGTGCTGGTCTGCAACGCCCTCCAGGGGTCTTTTTCGGTTCTTTCCTGTCAGGGTTTCCAAAGTGGCATATTTTTTCTATAACTCTGCTTGTGACTCTGATCCTTGCAGGAGAAGGAGTACCTCCCGGCAACTATGGGAACTATGGCTATCCTAACAGTGGGTACAGTGCCTGTGAAGAAGAAAATGAGAGACTCACAGAAAGTCTGAGAAGCAAAGTAAATGCCATAAAATCTGTAAGTGTATAACATATACTTCTTAATTTATGTATTTATATACATATATATTTTATACTTAGAAGTTCATAACTTTTATTGGTATCATACTAAGAAGTACAGTTCCCCACATAGTGTAGTTCCCCAAAGTTAACAATTCAGAGATAATAAAGCAGCTATGGAACTAGATAGCCCAAGTCACCTGACTACTTTCTACAACTGCCATTCACACCGGGGAAGGAAATTTCCAGGAGAAAAATGCTTTCTTCTAACAAGGCACCTAAATTATCAATATTTTAGGTTAGGAAAAAAATCATTTAATCCTTTCCCTCTAAATGTTGTATTTTCTAATATTGCTTAGTTCGTAAATCAGTGCCTTTTGTTTAAAATGACCTTGAAAAACAGTACTCATTTCAGAATGTAACAGTCTCTGGACTGAACACAATTCCATTTTCCAAAGACTAATGAAATAGCAATTAAGGTTTAGCAACATGACTCAAAATTAGATATGATTTGAGCACAAGTTAGAAAATGTGGGCAATCAAAACATAGGGTATGCGGTTTTTAAACTGCAGCTGGTTCGAGTAGTGACAGTAACGTCCCAGAGCAGTCCTCCTCCCACCCCAAAGCAGCGCTGCTTCTGACTTTTCTTCCCGACTTGAAAGCTACAGATCTCAGTCTTTCATGTTTCTGCCTTTGTGCTTCATTCACATCAGCACCAAGTTCCAAGCTTCCTTCTTTCTACTCTTTCTATTTCTATCACCTGGTTGTCTTCGGTGAACTGTTGAGAAAGCCTGTTAACCTGTCTGTTCCTAATTTTTTGCACGTTCTGGTCTGAGCTGCACCCTGTGACCACAGTCGTCTTTTTAGAGTAATTTTTTAAATTGCATCCTATGCTCCCAGTAGTCTTCATTGGCCTCACATGATGTAAGAAATGAAGTTCACACTGTGTAGCGTGATCAAATAGGTTCTGCAGAGGTTGTCCCCCGCTTTTCAGACCTTACCTCCCACGCTTGCAGAATGTGGACATGCTTGCTTTCTGCCAGACAAATGAGAGTGCTCCTGTGTCCTGTGCACGCTGTCATTCTCCTGCTCCCGTAACTGGGGTCGTGCTGTCCCTTTGCTTTAGGTACCCTGTCCCCACTGACATCGGCTGAAGTCTTGCCCATCTGAAAGGCTCCTCCCCATTGCACCATCCCTTTTCTAGGCTTTACCTGATCACCACATTAAAGTGTCTTTTTCCTTATGAACATAAGACCATTTGTACCACTCTATAGTTCTTACTGTATAACGGTCTGCACTGGAATTATTTATGTGTAAAAGAAATTTACCAGAATGTAGGGTATTCTGTTGTACTTATTTTTATATTCTACATAGCACTAACGTAATTCCTTACAGTTATATATTGAGTTAGTATGTGTTAAATAAAGGAATCATCAAAAGATAATTCTAACAGTGATTATTGTGATTGAGTCTGCGTTGAAATAAACATGCTATATATACACTTAGAGAGCATTCAGTAGAAGCTTATGTTGCCAAAGCTTAGTTGGCATTTCATTAGTCTGTGGAAAACAGAATTGTATTCAGCCTGGAGACTGTTACATTCTGAGACGAGTCAAAGTCATATTAAATCAAAAGGAGTTGATCTATGAACTAACCACTAATGTATAATGTTAATCATTTAGAAAACATAACATTTAGAGGGAATTAACAATTGAAAGATTTTTTTTAAAAAATGTAACACTGATAATTTAGCCTCCTTTTTAAAAGAAAGCTTTTTCTTCCCTGAAAATGTCTTTCGTTGGCACGAATGACAGTTGTAGAAATAGGTGATTTGGGCTGTCTAGCTTTATAGTTGCTTTACTTTCTCTGAATTGCTAAATCTTGGGGAGAAGCTCATATTCTGATCTATAGAATTTTAGTACGTCTTTGTGTCGGTATTATCCCATATGCTTTCCGCATAAAGTAAGTTGAGGACAGTATTTGCAATGGTATGCCAAGATTTTTAGTAGTGTTACTTATTCAGATATCTTAGATGTGAAGCCTTTGATGAATTTGTCATATAAAATATTAGATAGGTTTTGGTTTGAATAGCAGCTGTAATCATTTATAGTATTTCATTCAGATTCAGCCTCTTTCCTGCATAGATTCAAGATGTGGATAGCACTAACTCGTAATTTTTTTTCTAATTTATTATCATATTTTAAAGAAAAATAGCTTTAGAACTTAAACAAATAAGCAATTTAGGTATATACTCAAAGTTAATGTCACATTTCATTAGGAAAATACTACTTATATCTGGATCTGAATTGATAATATGGCAATTTTTATACATCTTTTAAAATGTAAAGGGGGAGAGATACAAACAAATGCTATTGTGTGAATAATAGAGAGAAAAAAGACTGCAAGGGTAAGAGAATCAGAGAGAAGTATGTACCAAAATTGAAAGATGGAATTGAATATTAAGATGAAATCAAAATGAAGAGCAGGGCATGTCCATAGTTGGGAAGGAATAGAAATTCTTAACTTTATTTTCCATTAATTTCAGTGGGAAAAGCATCAGAATAAGAGAGTATATTTTATATTTTTTGAATACAGTTTTATTTGAGAAAATGTTTATGCTTAGAGTGGCATTTTTTTTTTACTTTAACACTTAAATACATTTATATAATTATATGCTTTCTTCTTTGCAGCTTTCTATTGAAATAGGCCATGAAGTTAAACATCAAAATAAATTATTAGCTGAAATGGTAAGTGGTTAAGATTTTAACTTTAACAAACTTGATCTGTTTATCTTTTTTTGTTAAGAGGGTTAACAAACTTGATCTGATGTTCTCAAATTTAGTCTGTTACTAAGGAATAAGTTTTAACTTTTATCCATATTGAAATAGATTTAAAAATCGTAAGTCTTGGATTCCTATCCATTTATTAATTGGTTTGAAATAGCTCTTGAGATTAATTCTTGCCATATTTTTTACATTTTGCGTCTTGCCTAACACATACAAGTAGGAGGAGGATGTGGAAGCCACTGTATCTTTAATCCTGAGTTTAGAAGCGCTGTTAGAGCTCAGGACAAATGACTGTTTTGAGCCTTGTTAAAGGTCTCAGTGGACATAGACTGCCAGGTAATCAAAAGCACTTTACATTCAACCAGCCAAATGTCTTTCACTTAATGTAAACCTGTTTCTTTTGCTTGATCTCCTAAGGATCACTTGGAACAAGTCAGTAAGATTTGAACATAGTAACATCCCCAAGCCTTTTTCTCTAGTCTAAACAAGCTCAGTAACGTACACCTTTTCTTGTTGGAGGCTCTTTCCATTCTCTAATGCTTATGTGGGATGTCAGACTCCTGAACCTTCCCTACTTTCTCGACATTCCTTTAGTATTGTACTATTCAAAAACAAATGGCACTGAAAGGAATCTCCTTGTGAAGGTCATGCATTAGAATCACTTGAGGAACTTTCTGAAAATATAGCTGGTTCTCACTCTAAATATCCTACGTCCCTCCCTCTATTTAGGGAGGGACCTAGGGATATGTATTTTGAAAAAAGCATCTGAGGTGATTCTGAGGTATAACTCCAGTAAGGTGATGCCTCATTCTAGTTTTGATTTGCATTTTTCTGATAATTAACTATATTGAGCATCTTTTTATGGGCCCCAGTTGGCCACCTGTAATGTCTTCTTTAAAGAAGTGTATATTTAGACATTTAGAAAAATGTTTTTGATATTAAGCTCTATGAGCTATTTGTATATTTGGGGTTTTTTTATTTTATTGAAGTATACTCAGTTGACAATGTTGTGACAATTTCTGGTGTACAGAACAATACTTCAAACATACATCAATATAAATATATTTATGTTCATATTCTTCACCATAAATTACTACAATACATTGAATATAGTTCCCTCTGCTATACAGTAGAAACTGGTTGTATATCTATTTTATGTATATTAGTTACTATCTGGAAAACTTGAAACTGATGCCTTCCCAACCCTTTCCCCATTGGTAACACTAAGTTTATTTTCTTTGTATATGAGACTGTTTCTGTTTGTAAATGAGTTTGGTTTCTTTTATTCCATTTATATGTGATATCAGATGGTATTTTTGTTTCCTTTTCTGGCTTACTTAACTTAGAATGACAATCTCCAGGTCTAATAATGTGCTGTTTCCTAGCTCTGTAGTAAGGTCTGAAGTCTGGGAGGGTTATTCCTCCAGCTTCACTCCTTTCCTTCAGTAATGCTTTGGCAATTCTGGGTCTCTTGTGATTCCATATAAATTTTACCACTATTTGTTCTCGTTCTGTAAAAAATGTCCTGGGTAAGTGGATAGGGATCGCGTAAAATGTGTAGATTGCTTTGGGTAGTATGGCCATTTTAAGAATGTTAATTCTTCCAATCCAAGAACATGGGATATCTTTCCGTTTCTTTAAGTCATCTTTAATTTCCTTGGTCAGTGTTCTGTAGTTCTCTGCATATAAGTCTTTCACTTCCTCAAGGGTCAGATTTATTCCTAAGTATTTTATTTTGGGGGATGTAATTTTAAAAGGGATTGTTGCTTTACGTTCCTTTTCAGATATTTCATTGTTAGTGTAAAGAAATGCCACTGATCTCTGTATGTTAATCTTGTATCCTCCTACCTGGCAGAATTCTTTTTTTTTTTAAGTTGAAGTACTGTCAGTTTACAATATTGTGTCAATTTCCATTGTACAGTGCAATTCTTCAGTCATACGTGAATATGTATATATTCATTTTCATATTTTTCACCCTAAGCTACTACAGGATATTGAATATGTTTCCCTGTGTTGTACAGTATAAACTTGTTAATCTATTTTATATATACCACTCAGTATCTGCAAATCTCAAACTCCTAGTTCATCCCTTCCCACCCCCGTGGCATCCTCAAGTCTGTATTCTATGTCTGTGAGTCTTTTTCTGTTGTATATATAAGTGCATTTCTCTTTTTTTAAGATTCCACATATGAGTGATATCATATGGTATTTTCCTTTCTCTTTCTGGATAACTTCACTTTGAATGACAGACTCCATGTCCCTCCATGTTGCTGCAAATGGCGTTATTTTATTACTTTTTAGGGCTGAGTAGCATTCCATTGTATAAATAGACCACAGTGTCTTTATCCAGTCATGTGTCGATGGACATTTAGGCTCTTCCCATGTCTTGTCTATTGTAAATAGTGCTGCTGTGAATGTTGGGGTGCGTATATCTTTTTGAATTACGGTTCCCTCTGGATAGATGGCCAGGGGTGGGATTGCTACATCATGTGATAAGTGTATACATAGTCTTCTGAGGAGTCTCCATGCAGTTTTTTATAATGGCTGCAGCAGACTACATTCCCACCCAGAGTGTAGGGGAGGGAAGGGGAGAAGTCCCTTTTCTGCACAGCCTCTCCAGCATTTATGGTTTGTGGACTTTAGAATGATGGCCATTCTGACTGGTGTGAGGTGGTAGTTTTGATTTGCATTTCTCCGATCGTTAGCAATATTGAGCATTTTTTCCTGTGCCTATTGGCCCTTGGTATGTCTTCATTGGGGAATTGCTTGTTTAAGTCTTCTGCCCATTTTTGGATTGGCTTGTTT